ACTTCCAACGTTCTTTTTAAAAGGGATATCTACTGGAATATAAATAATGAGAGGCAAAAAAAATTGCTATCCGAGTGGAGCCGATATAACCATCACTACTCCTCAATCAATCCCASTCGCACAAAACCCTGCTTCTCTCCGACCATGCCGACAAACTACATAACTCCATATACCCGTCTCCGGCTTGGCCACACGACATTACAACCTCTCATTTGCTTCAAGGCGCTAATCCTAGTCGCTGCCCGTTCTGCAACTCTTCACTCAGCATTAACCACCTCTTAGATTGCTGCCCGAAGCTTGATGCCCAAAGACTACACTATTTCAATGGTATTAACCCTACACATCTGTTAAAAAACCCGATGGATAATAATATTAGCAGGATATACAATTTCCTTAGAGATACCGACCTACTCCGACGCATTTGATACCGCCCTAGTCAACATGCCAGCCGAAAGCCTCCGACGGTAGCGCTGCGTTATCTTTAGTTTATGTAATAATTTCATTGTTATGTAAACTTTTATAAAATAAAATAAAATAAAATAAATAAGTACTACAAGTATACTTGCTGCACACATAGATAACGCATAACAGTGCCATAACGAATTGCCATAAAATCCAGCAACAACAACAATTCAGTTTAGGTAATTAAAATTGATTGATTTCGGTTTTAATCGGCGCTTATGAACCGCTTATGAGAAAACACAACAAAATTTAAACTCAAAATAAATAAATGTGTGTATAAATATTTCTCATCAAGCGCTGCTTCAAAAACACTGTTAATTCCTGAAACTTGAGAGTGCCACAGGCAAGGATATATTGTGTTGCTGCCGTCAACGGCAAATTGCTTAGTTATGAACTCGAAGGCTTTAAACCAAATATTTTCACATTTTTTCGCAAGCATACATTTGCACCTGAAGAGCTCTTTAGTTGTGGATGCAGAGCCAATACTTTCTCCACAGTATTTTCAATCACACTAATGCATGTGTTCTGAAGAAATGATCGAAATTTGAGTAACCTTAGACAAGAATGATAAATTGATGACTTGAGTCTATATTCTATATTGAACTATGCGCTTGATTGTGTTTAAATAATTTGATTAGCTGTCATAACGGCGCATCTTATCATTTGACATTAAAAAAGCTCATTTTACATTATATAAGCGCTTGCTTTAACTTTACTTGTATTGCATTATGAAGCACACTCACTTACACCGCCACTAAACAATTCTTCTTTTACACGCTTACTTCCATGCGCTGCCACACAGATTTATGATTGGGCAATACATCACTGTCCACGGCGATGTAATTAGTCACGTCAACATTAGCCATGTCATGGTGGAAGATGGCGGCGAATACTCCTGCATCGCGGAGAACCGTGCGGGGAAGGTGCAGCATGCGGCACGTTTAAATATTTATGGTAAGTACATATAATAAACGGCATAATAAACAAGCAAAGTTATAAAAATTAATTACTTTCTTAATATTTTCGAATGCGCCTCTGAAGGCCGATGTTATTTTAAAAAGCTTTTCAGGCGCCATGACTTTATGAAAATGTTGTCATCCGGTTAGAGCACAAAAGCACTCTACGATTCGGCCATTGGCTTATATGTCCACAAACCGTATGTTTGTGTGTGTTCATTGTCCATATGTCTGCAGGTCATTCACAGGAAAATTGCGAAATTCCCGTTTATTTGCCTCCAACATTTCAGCTGCCCGACGCTGTCATTCAGTATGGACAAATTCATTTCCTACTTTTCTGTTTTTTTTTTCGAATATTTAACCCGCATTTTGCACCCGCGGCGCACTTTTCAAACGGTCAGCTAAAATTTCATTGCGAACCCGCCGAACGGAACGGCACGCTATTCGCATGCATACCTTATGCATGTACATATGTACTGGTATTTACATGATAAATATGCATTCGAAAAATAAGCCTCGCAGAGATTTATTGATGTTCATGGAAAGCCGCATTCTCGATGCGCCAAAATAATTGCAAAAAGACACAGAGCCACATATACATACATACATATACTGCAAAAAGCAGTGAGACTTTTTAATTTAATTTTTGCGCCAGTCGTTCTTCCTTTTCGCTGCATCACGCCTTGTCGGAAACCTCGTTTCGTATCGAAAAGCTCAGAGAGGTTCCTTCCTATCTTAACGGAGTTTTTGGTATTGCTCAACGTCAGCTTACACAGCCGTACTAGTTTTGCGGCGTTACCATGTTCGACCACATTGGCATAAAAACAGCTAATTTTCCTATCAGTTTGCTAGTTGGCGCAAATTTTTGGGTCTCTGTTTTTGTGTGAGCGGGCATGCTTTCGTCCGACCACAAAGAAGCTGACGCATGGGGGTTCTACAAGAGTATGCTCCCGTACTTCTGTTAGTCTCCGCATCTTTTCCTAAAACTTTAGAGTGTTATAGTAGTCAAGCCCTTTATACTCAAGCATTTCGGCCTTCAGCTATCGGTATCTACCCCTCCGGAGACACCTTCTTTGCCCACCCTGGCGTTATAATCGCCAAGCACGATTTTGACATTGTGGCGGGGGCAGCGCTCATAGAAATCATCGTCCTTTGTTTCCGTTGGGGCGTGGGCGCAAATCAGCGATTTGGTGAACAACTTCGCTTTGATGCGAATTGTAGCTAGACGTATATCCACTGGGGTGAATTCCAGGACACCGAATTTGAGCACTTTTTCCTTATTATGGTATATATCATTGCTTAAAATTTAAATTCTCTTTTTCATGCCTTTCCTCAAAAATATTCTAACTCCCTAAGAGACTGAAAGCTTTTCTTTTTCTAAAAATTACACGTTTTCTTACCAAAAGCAAATACCAAATACTGAAAATCACTTCAAAAAACCACTTTTCAATAATTTTTTAGCTTGAAGAGGCTTTAACTGCTGAAAACAGCTTAAATAACATTTATTTTTATTTGCGTCGCTGGTATATCGGAACTCAGCTATGCAGCAGCATGCCATACATTTGCGGAGACAGTAATATTTTCAGTGACAATGTTTGGCGGTAGCTTTCAGCAAATAAAAAATTCATACGCCATAAAGTTTGTCATAAATTTTGTAAATTTTCAACTGGAAACAAGAGCGCCTTTCAAAAATGCAAATGCCACACTTTTTACACTCAACAGCCATAGCTCTCTGCTTTTATGTTTCTGTTTCTGTTTCTTTTTTTTTTTTGTGTTTCTTTTTTGTTAAGAAATGCAAAAAATAATAAACATACTCAACGCAAAATTGAAAGGGCTACAAGAAAAAAGCATGGCGAACCACAACTGCGGCACAGGAATCTGCTGACGCTGTACTGACCCACATAGATAAAGCCAAAACATGCTGCCTGTTCCTTTTCTGTGGCCGAATGTGTACTCGTATGCCCAGAGGATAGCGGAAAACTGTACAAACACTCGCTGATATCTCCTGCACATATACTCATATACACTCGCTGATATCTCCTGGACATGTGGAGCTTCAGACGAGTGTGCGTTTGGTGTGAGTGCAATTTGTTTGTTTACCAAGCGACGAATTACGTAAATGTTCACTATTCGGCAGTTTTTATATGCTTACAATTTGGTTAATATTTCTGGCAGCTTACCGACAGAGTGAGTGCATCACTTTCAAGCCGATTTACTGCTGTCTTTACTCACTAACTCGCCTTATACATTAAATCCTTAAAAATTCTACATTTTCATTGAACTTTGAAAAGCTTGCAACCAAACTTTAATCAATCGTTATTTGAATTGCAACAATAAACCTAATTTTTCACTATTCTCTCTTCCTTTTACAGGTCTACCCTACATCCGCCTCATACCGAAAGTAACTGCCGTGTCGGGTGAAACCCTAAACTTGAAGTGTCCCGTAGCTGGCTACCCCATCGAGGAGATACATTGGGAGCGCAACGGCCGCGAACTACCAGATGATATCCGGCAACGCGTGCAGCCGGACGGCTCGCTGACCATCACACCGGTGCAGAAAAACACCGATTCGGGCGTGTACACATGCTGGGCGCGCAACAAGCAGGGCCACAGTGCACGGCGCAGTGGCGAAGTCACAGTCATAGGTCAGTATACTTTAAGCGAAACTGAGCTAAGTGTGTGAATAAAGGGGTGAATAGCGAGCATGAATATCGCCACTAGAAAAAGAAAAAAGGGGGACCCAATTTATACAACACAATTGCCAAAAGCAACAATATGGAGGCAATGACAATAGCAATTCATATGGAAATTAGCCAGTGCAAGGGAAGGCTCCAATAACATTAAATATAGTTTTTCTTTATCCCTCCCGTATGGGAGACACCTAAACATTTCGCGGTGAAAAATATCGTTTTGAGCTATTTAGTGGATTAGTTATTGAAGGGAAAATTAAAGCATATGCGATATAAGTGTGAGACGAATAAGTAAGATAAAAGTATAGTCATCAGATATTTTAACCGTTACATTTAAAATGCGTACCACATTCCAATGTTTTCCAAAGTTGTAGGCACAATAATAACAATTAAATTTATAATTGCGACAACAGAGCGCGCGGCAGCAATTTCAATTCGGAAGCCAACTTTTCTTATCACAAGCGCATATTTTGCTTGTCCGCATTATTGCTTAACTTTATTATTGCTTTAATTTCGACAATGAGCGAATGAGCGGGAGGAGTTAGGCACTTATCAGCACGAAACTTGCGGTCGCTTGTGCGGAACGCTTGTGTTGTTATTGAGTTGCTGCCCAAAAGAGTCGCAGTTCATCACTTCGAAATGGGAACTAATGCAAACTTAGCTGCGGTTGCTTATAAGACAGCAACTGCACGCCTTAACGACAACAACGAGATGAGCAAGGCGGACATTGCGGCTGAGCTCGACGACAAAGTCATTTTTATTTGCTTCGAAACAAGCAGAGAACTTGTTGTGTTGCAAAATGTTCATTGTTTCAGAGTTGAAAAACTTTTTGGCATTGAAATAAGTAATAATTGGAATCGCTTTTAGTTTTATTAGTAAAGTTTTAAATATGCGTGCTCCGTTGCTGCAGGCTTTACTGTTTTGTACTTCCTTATGCACGGCAAACAACCACACTGGCGGCCACTCAGTTTTGATAACTTTTATATTTTAATTGGTATATACTACTAAAAGTAATATATATATCCACCATGAGAGCTATTCTGGGTGTTTGTTGAAAAATTTGACACATTCGGCGAACGCGGATATTCGTTTGCCGCGACAGTGTTAGCGGATTTATTGTCTAGTACTGGGCCTTAAGTAGTTCCAAAAAAGTATGTAGAAGTCAAAGAAATTTAATGTGTAGCCACCAGTGTACTTTGGAAGATGAAGAATATGTGTTTGTTTCAGAAGATCAGCTGAAGTTGGTTTACTGTATATTTGGAGGGTAGGATTCTTGTCAGCTACTTTGGTTTCATGATGAAGTTGATAGTCTTTAAGGTTATGCCTTTATTTTCTTATAGACTTCGGGTAGTGCCAGATTTAGTATTCTAACCTTAATTTTTTGCTTTAAATTAAAAATATATGTAATCGTTTATTGACTTAAGCATATAACAAAATCCATAGAACCTAATGTAGGGTGGCAGTTGGTCACCTTTAATAATCACTTGAAAGCGATATCTTCGGTTAGCAGTCTGATTGCAATTGTCTGTGGAAGAAGGGCGTTTAAATAATTTGATTTTCACCTGCCACAATCAACGTCAGCAAAACCTCAAATGAGCATTTGTCATTCAGCAGTTTCGCGGCTTCGCGCCACACTCACACCCTCAACCATTTATAGAAGATTTTGCAACGGCCAGAAATGCTGCGCAACTTTTCGGTTTCTTCACAAACCAAATTGCATTTCGTCGCCTCCCAAATACTTCGTTTCTCTTCCGTTTTAATCAACTGTGCTTTGTGTCACGACATGAATGAGTGGGAGTTAACGCGCGGCACCCTAGGCTAAAGTGGGGTGTGCTCATTCATATGGCTACATAATCGTATGTGAGAATACATAATTCAAAATCATTCGTGTATGCCGAAGTCAAGTGGGGCGCCTTATCGAGAGTTATATACTTACTTATATGCTCAGCACCGCTTGTGGACTTGGAAGAACCAAGGTGTTTCAAGGAGTCGACAGGAGTACATACATATAGATGCAACTAGTCCTCATTTCGGTTCTTTCGTGGAATCCATTAATGACATACGTAACTTCTGCTGAGAAACTGATGAAATTGTAATCGATTTGGGATGAAAGAAAAATGCATTCCTGAACCAAAGTTATTTCCTAGCGGTGTTGTTCCTATAAGTCAGAAGACTTTCAAAGTTGTGCTTTCACTTGTTCGTTGCCGACTCCGCTGAGATATTTTGTGCCTTTCAATAGCATGCTATTACGGATTTCCAAGTATTTGCAGCGATACACAATTTCCCCGCCTGCGACGGCCCTCTACCCACTTTTTGGTATCCTGGACAAATTAGGCCCTTGTGGCATCTTTTGTGTACTTTCATAAACACGAGCGAAACTAAGCTGTATATGTGTTCGCGTATATACGAGGCGTATGTATGTATATAGGAATTAATCTGCGGTGGTGCGGATTCCCGTTTTTAACGTTTAATTTAAATAAGTGTGCACAATGCTACAATTGTATGTATGTTTCTGGCATTTGTTGCTGCTGTTGGCACTTTAGGGACTCGCTGCCGCAAAGAGTCTGGCTCATTTGGTCGTACATATGCAAGTGCCTGCATGAAAGTAAATAAATATGACTGAGGATTTGTACCTCATTAGCCTTTTGGTTTTTGAGGTTTGCATATTTACTTTGCCGCCACTCCACAAGTGTTCCTTGCATTCATAACACATCACTCCATTGGTACACCACATGCCTGACACATTCTTACATACATACGTACATGTATGCAGGTAATACCGTAAATGGCGCTGGGTCGCAAGGGTTTGCGGTAAGGTGTCTGCCTTGGTGTTTGTGTGAGTATTGGCGTTGACATATTTAATGGCGTGCCAGCTATTAACTTTGGCAACGCTGTTCACTTCAGCAGCTTGTGAAAAATATTATTAAAAAAAAAAAAATTATTATTTTAAAATGAGTGAAATAAATGGAAGATATTATTTTCCATCTTCAATCTTTACAAGAATACAAAAATTAGTTAACAGAAGTTTCTGTTTTAAAAAATTAATACCGAATCAGTTATCAGAAAACTTAATGTATTTTTATTTTTGGCCTTCTCCGTTCATGGCTAATTAGCGAGGCCTTAATCAGTAGCTGCTTATACGAAAAATATACAAAACAGTTATGTTAAACCTGCTCATCAGCATAAAGCAAGCGATTTCTGTCGGGTCTCTTTTTTGATGTTGCTCAATTCAATAATTATAATGAGCATCAGAAAGTCTCTTCCTACTTCACTTCCAAACGCAGAATTCAGTCTCACAGGAAAAAATTTTTTCGCTCACACAACGTCTAATTAATTTGAACGTGCTGACCTACAATGAAGCTTTTTAATTGCAAAAAAATAAGCCGTAATCAGTTAGCTTATTAACAGCAACAGAAAGCAAAGTTACCCAATTTTATGAGCACAAACAGGTTAATTAGAGGAAATGGAGGTAAGCAAGGAATGTATGCATAAATCTTTCACTTCTAAAGTTATATTAAACAAAGAGAAATAGTTAAAATAGGTTAGGTTAGGTTAACCTGGTAGATCAATAAGACGGCCGTAGACCAGTTTAGCCCTTTGCGATACCAGATTCACTTGCTAAGTCTAAGAAGAGTAGTCATTGGTTAGGATGACAGGGCTTTACGCGAATTTTAACAGACTCTGCGGCCTCACTGCCGATATCGTTTGTCATGGCGGGACAAGTGTACAAGAGAGGAAATGACTAGAACAGGGCACCAGCGAAACCATGGTCGCGAAATAATGGTCGCTGGTATTTCCTACAGTCTTCTCGATCTGTCAGCTCCATTTTGCGGGCGTGTGGCCCCAGCAGACAGTGACCAGTTAGTATTCCCATCATTATCCTACAATCTCTTTTTTTTTTTTTTTGCCAATAGGTATGCTATGACCTTCTGATCTACTGTTTTGCATATGACTTTTGCAGTTTTGCACCCAAATAGCTCGTTGCATGGGGTTTTGATTTTCTTGACTATGCTTTTGTTGAGGTCGTCGTATAGACAATGCATGGATTTGCCAATGTTGATCACTTTTTCGGATGTTAGCCTTACTCTAATGGCAATCTCGTCCACTGGCCTGGCACCAAGTAGAAGTTAAGTTGTTTACTTCTGGCAACACTTTACACTGTTACCCTGCTTTCCAAGACACTTCTGGCCGATATTCGATACGAGGTTCCTGCCTTGATTGCTGCTTGGCTGTCTATGTAGATGTTGACTCTGGATAAAGTAAATGTTTAAAATGTTGCCCGTGCTAACCAATACGCTTTTACCAGGCATCGTTTTCTATGTAAAGTGGGGTCACGTCGTCGGTGTTTTCCCAACTATCATTACCAACCGAGCTATGCCTGAAAGTTCTGCATCTAAATCCTTCTGCAGCCAGTTGCCGTCCCGCCGATTTTACTGCGACGTTTTCAGCGAAGAGATCTATAGGTGGCAGGTTTAGTGCCAATTCAAGACCGATGTTGGAATTGTATGCACAGCGCAGCGAACCCATGAACCCTTTTCATTAACTTCCGGCAGGTGAATTTCCGTACGCCTATCCACCATACAACTGCATAAGAATTGCTCTAACCAAGGTACTTGGTGAGGTCCTTGAGAGAGAGTTATGCCCCATTTGTAGAATGGAACCTCCATTGAGTAGTTTTATGCTTTCTTGTGAATAGGTCCTTTCCTTCGGGTTCTACCCCAGACCCAGTCCAGTTCTGAATTATATTGAGAGTGGTGGCCATGATACTGCTAATAGTCTGTAGTTAAAACAAAGCAATAATATGGTTAAGAGTTAAAGAGCTTAGTCTAGTAGGGTATTTTGAAAAAATCATCCACCCAGATTTGTCATTTATAGGACGAAAGATATTCAAACGAGCAGACAACGAAATCGTAAAATAGTATATATGTGACAAAAAAAAAAAAATATTTTAATATTTATTTCGACATCTTCGCAAGGTGAGTTTGAAAACACATGTGCATAAATATATATGCTTATTTAAAAACGCAGCGCTTTGAACTTACAGACACCCGCTTTAATATACTATAATTCTGTACTTCTCTCTGTCCTCACTGCCAAACTCCCTTGAAACTTCCAATTTCCTACAGTTCCTCCTAAATTGAGCCCCTTTCAGACGTCGATTCTACAGCTAAATATGGGCGACCGGGCATCGCTCACCTGTTCAGTGGTAAAAGGTGACTTGCCGCTGACCATCTCCTGGCGGAAGGACAACAGGCCGATCGATCCGACGCAGCATATGTCCGTGAAGCAGGTGGACCAGTACAACAGCATTTTGGTCATAGAAACGCTCGGCTCCGATCACACCGGCAACTACTCATGCGTCGTGCGCAATTCAGCAGCCGAGGTAGAGAACTCTCAAGCGCTGCTGGTCAATGGTAAAGAGATGAAGCCACCACAAAGCGCGCCCATAGTTGCGCTCATATAAAAAATATGTATTTTATTTATTTCAACGTTTAGTTAAATAATATTTTTGTGCAATTGATTTTTGATTTTTACAACGATTGTTGTAATTGTACAGTTTAAATATGACTACAACAAGTTTGTTTATATGTATGTACATAAATATTTTATATATACATAGACTGAAGTAGTGTTTTTGAATGAATTTTGATTTTGCCCGTTTCGTATATATAGATATATCATTTACCGTTGATTTACCTTTCAATTAAGAATGCATTTTATGTTGAAAGAAAGTACGTATGTAAATGGCTTTGAACCCATTTGAAGTCAAAAAATTGTTTATGTTTGTAGTATGTTTATACAGCAAGATGAGATTCAAAGATTTTTCCTTAACATTAAATATATATAATTATGATTCGTTTGAATTTTTGAAACCAAATAGTTTATTTTCTCTCTGGAATGCTTCAAATTTGTAGTGTTAACGTATTGTAGAAACAAAAATATTCAAAACTGCGAAGGTTTAATCAAGCAACTTTGAGAGAAAGTTAGCTCGCAGATATACTTTTAACGGTATATAGTGAACATATATAGCAATATGAATATACATATTTAAGCAACTATAAAAATTTTCAGCAAAACGCGTGCAACGCTCCTGACACATCAATAACTTCTCTACGCACTACAACAACGTTGGTCCGCCGCAACCCAACGCTGGTATAGTTCCACTCTCCCTCTGCGTTTGGGCGCTTGCCAGCCGTACGAATATATGCTTATTTTAGATAACGAATCATATGATTGAAATTTTTAAATTACATAATCGATATTCTTGTATGTTATTACAGTCCCACCCATAATAGAACCGTTCGTGTTTCAAGATGGCCTCGCCGAAGGTATGCGCACGCGCACAGTCTGCGGTGTGTCGCGCGGTGATGCGCCGCTCAAATTGATTTGGCTCAAAGATGGCGAGCCGTTGCCCGAACTGTTGGGCGCCAATGTCACAATGCTCGATCAGTACTCGTCGTTGTTGAGCATACCGTCGTTGTCGGCATCGCACACCGGTGAATATACGTGCGTGGCTAAGAATCCGGCTGCCGAAATTAAATACACCGCCGTACTGCAGGTCAAAGGTATAGTATGACGGTGCCTACGTACCTACACGAATACATACGATTATGAGTATGTATGCATTATCCATAGGAGGCTCACGAGCTTCTTACTTTTACTAAATGAAAGCAAGTTCTTTTGTATGCAAAACTTTCCAAAGAAAAATTAAATTTTATATTGAGATAAAATATTGCATTAAGGGAAATAAATAACAGCATATAAAATGTTACCACACATCACATCACAAACACACGCAAACTGTTTTCACGCAATTTTAATTTAAGAAAAGGTTTCATCAAAAAAGGAATCTGGTGTTACACAATGGCACTTAAAAAGAATCTGAAGCAAATAATAAAAATAACTATTCAAAAAGTTTCTTAGAGTCCTCCAAAATAACGAAAGCACATTTCCATGCATAAAATTTCAAAAAGACCTGCAGCCGGTCTCGCTATTCGAGATTTCTCTCTAAAATTAAATGCCGAATGCACGGTTTTCTTACTTAGAACAATTGTTGCTCGAAATAAAGTATAATTTTAAGCGTGAGTTAAAAAAGATGAAAAATTGTTAATTCCTAAAAAAAAAATGTTGAAATGAGAAACGCTCTAAAAGCCGCAATTACCGCTCATTTGATGAAATCTGTCACATTTACATACACAAACCACATACAACTTGCACACATGCTAAAAGAATACTAAAAATAATAAAGACCATTGATTAATAAACAAATATATTAATATAAAATAGTAGAATTAACGGTATCACTAATGAAATTTAAACAAATACTCCACACAACTTAAAATGATCCAGTTTTTATTTCACTTTTTCGTTGTATACTAAAATGGCTTCTTATGGATTTCAGTTTTTAATTATAATAAATAGTGACTATTGATTTTTTAGCATCGGTACGTAATACTTCCGAGAAGTAATACATTTGAATCTATAAAATAAACTCACACGGAGACTATGAGTTGTGATTAGGTAAAGGCGGCGTCCAATACAAACATACACGAACAAATTGTGAACACACACACACACACAATCACATATTTAGCTGAACTTTGAAAGACCCCTGACATCCCCCTCTAACCAAAATCCATCCTCCAGTCGCTTTGGCACGCTGTGGGTTTTTTGTACGGCAGATCACCAGGTAACCTTACTGTTGCACTGCTTCAAACGCTTCTTACTATTTTTATTTACTATTGCATTGTTTTTTATTTAAGGAATATGCATTGCTAAGCGCTTTAGATAATGTAGTAGCGATTGTAATACATAACAGTAAAACAAACAATTGCCACAACTTGGTCATGCATAACTACACACAGCACTACGAGGCACGAAGAAGACGCTAGCAAAAACGAGGCACAAACTCGTAATGGATCAATGGATCGCGATCGTTGCCGTTTACCTTCGTATGTGTACTTACGTGTATGTCGCGACAGGCCGTGGAGCTTTTTATGCTTTTTAGACGCTTTTAACTGCGCACCCGCTGTACCTGCTATCCGCTCCTTCACTCTGCTTGTTAAGCTCTCTCTCTACTCGTGCTACATTCGCAAACAACTTTCTGCTTACTCTTTAAATCCTCGCCAAACACTCGCTATATTTTATGTACATATGTTTATGCAGATAAATAAAAGGGAATCACGTATCAGTTTAAGCCCCGCTTTTTGTTACGCGGCTTACGTCATGCGACACTCGCGCAAACCAACGCTGCTTCTAACGCCGTTATGTATATGCATATTTACATATACATATATAATTTATGTATATTTTGGGATTTTCGTGTGTGGCTGTCGCGCTGTGGTGCCAGAAAGCAACAACAATGTAAACATGTTTAAAGCTTACTAACAACTTGGTATATCCTGCTTAAATTTCGCGCTCAACTAACCGACATTCGTTGCGCTGTTTTTATTATCATTTAAAGCTTCGCAGTATTTGTAAAGTTATTACTCATGCCACGGCATGAGCGTATGTGTAGCTAGTTTGCTTACTTTTGTGCTCCCCGCTCACCTAAACCGCACTTAGTCACTCCACCATTTATGCTATGCTCTTTTATTTTTGTTTCAGGCTATTTTGTGCATGAATTATGGGAAATATTTGATTTTTACACTTGAAATAAGCGCGAAGCGAGGCTCGGTTTGAAATAAAATAATTTTTAGATTTCGGGAACCTCGAGACTTTTTACAAAGTGAAATTCAAATGATTGGTTCTCAACTCAAAGCCTAAATTATATCGGAAACCTTTGGATTATTCCGTATTTAAAATTTTTCGAATTTGGATTGAATTGAATTTTATTTCATTACTATTCCAAATACCAAGTGAATTTTTTTAAAAATAGTTGAAGTTACGCATTGTCCACCATCGGTATCAAAATCGTCAACTTTCGTTCGATTCGTTCACTACGTGGAATGCCGAATGCATCCAACTAACACGAGTTACTTAAGGCTGCCGGGTCCACACAGTACTTTTGAAATAATTAATTGGTTACATGGGTTTCCTCGGGTAAGCAACAGTCTTTGTTCTACAATTCGTTTCTCATATAAAAAACGAAATGTTTTATTAGAATATTTTCTTATTATTATTATCTGAAATTTTTGGAAAAAAATATTTTAAAGTCGGACATTGAGAACTGAAAATTGGATTTTTTTCAGACATTTTTACAAAAGAATTAAAATTTCGCGATATTTTTTTTTTCAAATAGTTTCATCGACATAAATCCTGCGTCCAAGTGTTTGAGAACTGATTGTATGTCAAAGATGCTATCAAGAAAAATCCTTCGTCCAAGTGTTTGAGAATTGATTGTATGTCAAAGACCTGTGTAAAATTTCATGAAGATGAAGATCGGTTGAGTAATTCTCTGGAAATCTATCCAACCGACTTCAAAAACACAGTTTCGAGGAACACGTGTTTGAAGACTTCGCACTTACCATAGCTACCTCGAGCGCACAAGTTTTCAAGGCTGTATCTCCAAAACTGTTACTCGGATCAACTTGAAAATTCGGGAGAATATTCTAAAGGGATTGTGGGATTTAAAAAGACAATAAAATAATTCCATTTTTTAAAAGCCGTAAGCCCATGAAACCCCTTTGGTAATGTGTGTTGCTAAATTTGACATAACTCGTTAGCGGTTTCAAAACTTTCCAGTTACACAGAAATGCTTTAGTTCTCGCATGCTTTTTTAAATTACCCCTTCTCCTGTTCTAATAAACTGTAGTATGCCTAGTATTTAGAAAACTGCTTCTTATAACTTTTGTTGCTTTCAGCATGAATGTACATATGTTTGTATAATTATGCAGCAGATTTGCGTGCTTTGCTTTAAATGCTTTTGTGCTTTGTTAATTTTTTTGTTTTGAGACTTTCGTTTTCTAACAAAAATCATGTAAAGACTATGGCTTCAAAAATTGAAAAAGACTAACTTTATATTTTAAGGCTGTTGTGTGCAATGATTTTTTTGCTTACCCCCCGCGATACCAAAGTTTTGGAAGACTAGCATAATGAAAAATGCAAAAATACACACCGAAAGCTTTACTGTCCCCTTAATCCCAGCAGGTTTATTATACTTTTAGCAAATCGCATTTATTTCACCATAATTTAATGGCTTACAATTAGTTTTAATTTTATTATTTCACTGAAATCTGGCGTCACTCGCTTAACTGTTAAGTTTGTGCTAAGTTTTTTATCGCATTTTTTGTGCAATTGAACGCTTTTGTAGCCACGCAAAGCTGCTCGTATATAACTAAATGCTTCAATAATCACACATACATATTTGTAAAATGAAAAGCGATTGCTTTGTTGTTGCAATGCGCTGCTGGCCAGCACTGTCGTCTGGAAGCGCATTTTGCTGAGCTTTGATAGAGTAGCGACGTTAGCAGATTTGCTATATCTGTTATATCTATGTGTATGTGTGTTAGCTGTGTGGTGTTTGAAGCATTTATTTGTGTGCTTTAGCTGACATTTATGTATCTTTTATTTGCAGCGTTACGATGGTGATCAATTTGAAATTTCTTGTTAGTTTTCATTTCCATTCCTCACATGAAACGCTTACATACATATGGTCAAGTACATGGGTGTGTGTGTATCAGTTTGATAACGAAGTAATCATAATTTTTCATTGCATGTGTATAACTAAATTCCCCGCTAATCCATCCAAATCACTGACACTTTCGGTAGTCTGGGAAGGTTGAGGTGTTAGGTATTGCAGCCGGAGCTAGTACATCAATTTTGAGTTTCAAGTGTATTAAAGCTCCAAATTATATAGAAATTTAAAATATTTATTAGTCGAAAAAACCTTTTCGTATTTTGTCAATAGATGTCGTTGCAGTCGTATATTTCCAATGCCACCAATCACATTGTGTCATACCATATAGTGTTTGAAAAGTGAGATTTCAAGCTTCCTTTTATCAAAAAGGAATTGAATTCGGGGAAGTTGAAAAAAAGCTACAGCTGTTTAAAGATGAGTGAAAATAATGAAGCAACTTGCTATATTATATTTTGAAATTTTTGTATAAAAAAGGGGGCATTCTTCCCTCCCGCAAGTTACCAATGAAATTTGTGAAGTTTCAGGAGACGATGCTCTATCAGTTCGTGTGGCACAACAATGGTTCGCTCGTTTCCGTTCTGAAAATTTCAACGTGAAAGATGCACCTCTCATTGGTCGACTTATCGTTGAAAAAGTCGATGAAATTTTGGAAAAGATTGACACACATGAGCATTCATCATCAAACGGTTTTGAATCATTTAAAAAGAAAATAATGTGCGAAAAAGTGGTGAAGCTTCACAAATGGTCGCAAAGCCAGGATTGACGCCTCGAAAGGTTATGCTGAGTGTTTGGTGGGAATGAAATAATTTACTATGAGCTGCTTCAGCCTGATCGAACGGTTGATTATACATTCTATCGTCAACAAATGATGAAATTGAAGCAAACAATCGAAAGAAAACAGCCACAACTTATCAACAGAAAGGGCTTCGTTTTCCATTAGAACAACGATAGCCCACAAACATCTTTGATGACTCGGCAAAAGCTGGGAGGGCTTGGCTTGGCGTCCATCATACAGCCCTGACCTTGCAATATCGGACTATCATTTGCTTCGGCCAATGCAGAACTCTCTTAATGGAATAAAGTTGGCTTCAAAAGAAGATTGTGAAAATTATTTGTCGCAGTTTTTCGCCGACAAACCAGAAAAGTTTTGAACTGATGGAATATTGTCTCTAGCGGAAAATAGCAAAAAGTGGTCGAACAAAATTTATTTATTAGTATAAATATATGAAAAAAAAGTTGAAGTTTCATTTAAAATACGAAAAGACTTTTTCGACTACCCAATATTTGCGTTACATTTCAATCAAACATTGAACGACTTTCGACATGAAAAGTAAACAGTCTTTTTCCGAAGATATAACGGTTAAGGAGATCTTTTAATCAAGGGATAGGTGATAAAATGTTATATAAGCACTTTTAGTCCAGAATCCACTGCATTGCTTTTATAATACTGTGAACCAAAGAAGGAGGCCAAGCTTCATAGGGATGCTATAATTACTGACACATATGCGAAAAAAATGAAATTCAAATTTACATATAATTGGCATACACAAAATATTTTATAGCTGCAATCAATGCAACAAAGAAAATTTGTTTGAAATTGAGGAAGAAGGAGTAGTGAAGGAGTGGCATTGCATTCCGTTTTGGTAACAAAATAATCATTTCACACTCCATGTAGGTCTGCTAGTGGAAAATAAAATCACGAACACCTAAGCATGCGAATAACTTAAATTGTAGAATACAAAAAAAAAAAAA